GTTGTAGCTGAGACAATTCTTCACAAGATTATTACCAATATTATTATTATTATTACCAATATTACCGTTTTGATGACGTCATTAGATTGTTTGCTTAATATGCGTCTTATGCCTATGGGAGGTGAATGATACTACATTCCAGTCTAGACTTGTTCATTATGTTGCGTATGTAGTGCGTCGAAATATCAGTTCACTGATTGGTAGGCTCTGCAATCAGGCGAAAATTTGAGCTTGTTTAGTAAGTTAATCATATAACAATTGTCTATCGAATACCTGAAGGGGGCGCTATACCACTTTTAATCATTGCCATCGTCATTTAAACAAACAAATCATCATCATCATCAATATCTTTATTATCGTATTTATGAATATTATCATTAGATCATGATCGGCACACTTTCATGATACAAAAATAGCATACGTATCACCTAATTCGTCAAAGTGACGAATTAAAGTCAAAGTGACGAATTTAAGTCTAGTTATAATTGTTAATCATATCATTATTATCATCTGTATTATCAGCATATTCTACAATGGCAGTAGTATAGTATAGTAATGTAGAAGTAGGCCTAGTAGTAGAGGTATCATTCTGATCCTTATTATCCTGATTATCTTTTTGCAAAACGTCTATATAGACGATAAACTCACGACAATTTACAATTGTCATGAATCATTGTCTTTAAGCTTACCATTAAATGCATCTGGTTCGAATTTTGCTTAGGTATTTGGTACGTGATGATTTAAATGGTAGAAATGAACTTGTTTTGTTGTTTTGTTGTTGTTTTAGTTTTGTGTCCTATTCATTCTAGTCTTATTCATTTGCATTATGTTGTATTCATTCAAGTTCTAATGTTTCTGACTGTTTTCAAGACAATATCTTTTTTGTCGATCATAGTTCTATGTAGCATGATATCTCACGGTAATTTTGAGAGAAAAGCAATGCAAGCAATAATTTTTGAATTGTAGCGACAATCGCGTTCGATTTTGCTGTTCTTCAATAATATTTGGCAAGCAGTATTAATTAATTTTTCAGGGACTCATGATAAATTCGTTTAACAGTTGATTACCTTCGGTTGATTCTTTTGTTCGGATTATTTGGCGGGGAAAATAGAAGTGAATGTATTATTATTCTTATTTTTTCATCGTCTCTACGATGCTCTTTGAATAAAAAAAACAGCTTTTAGTGTTAGGCTTCCTGAAAGAAATTTCAATTGTTGTTAAGAAATTTTTGGTTGCACTCTGTAGATTATGATGTATTTGATCTTTTTTCAATACAAGATCAAACACATGATGAAAATCTACTGGCTGCATGCAAATAAGTTCTTGACAACAATAACAAAATGTGAGCTAGTGCTATTCGGTGTGGCGTACACATGGCAATCACATGGTAGATAAAATTATGATCATCAGTACTGGGTCAAATAAATTAAAGTGAACTGAATTTGAACCCGGGCCATAGGCTACCCCCTCTCGTTCTCTCTCCCTCTCTCTCCCTCTTCGTCACCTTACGTTTCCCTCTCTTATGCCTCAGTCACACCTTTGCGTATTGGGCTTGCGTATTGCTGCGTATTACCCGAACGCAGACAAAGGCAGTCAAACCCAATATAGCGCAATGAAACGTGCTCACTACGTACTCTATACGCAGACTAGCGCATATGCCTGCGTTGGTCGCTCGCTAGTTTTAAAATTTTCTAAACTATCGCAAGCAAACGCAAGGTCAAATCGCATACGAGCGGATACGAGTGGCAACCAGTGAATGCGAGCGACAGCGAGTGACTTAGCGCAGGTATACGCAATCATACGCACCTCTTTTTCGGAGCACGTGTCACTGCCTATAGCTGCGTTTCCTGCACGATTTACCTCGCTTTAGCTCGTTGTCGTATGCATGATTGCGCGTATTGTTGCGCCGTTGCTCGCACATCGCTCGCAGCAGCAAGAACCCTTGCGATTGCCGCTCGCTACGTTGCGATTCTAGCTCGTACGCCGTTCGCTTTAGCTGGTAGTCGCTGGTTGCCGCTCGCTTTAGCTCGATCGCTATCACTGCGATTAGTTGCCTATATATCGGCAATAAAAGGCGGGGCGCCTCACGAGTTTGAATCATACCGCAGTCAACATTTGAAGAAGATACAACTACTGAACAAGAAGATGCCGAAAGCCAAAGCGAAAAGGGGAGTGGCGAGGACGAAGCCAGTCGAGCCGCCTAGGTCCCCATCGCCCCCGCCGGCCCCTGAGTCACAAGCGCTGGGTGAACAAGAGGAGACGAACGTGGCGAAGAAGCCGCGGAAAGGCCTAGTCAACTTCTCAGATGACCAAGAGAAGGAGCTTGGGGAGTGGCTTTTGGCAAACCCCATTTTCTACGACAAGGGATGCAAGGCTTACCGGGACACCCATAAGAAAAAATCTGTCATAACTGAGAAATGTAAAGAGATTGGGATCGACCCTGCTGAATATACCACGTGGTACCACTCCATGAGGAGTGGATACGGCAGGTTGTCAATGAAGTCGTCCGGGTCCGGGTCGAGGGAGTTCACCTCTCGGGAGAAATGGATCCTCGCCACCTTCTCCTTTTTCAAGACCCACATCGTCCGACATGAGTCCCGTCAGCTTGGTGTAAGTATATAATTAGTTGTTCTGTAATTAATTAATGACTGGCCAATATTTATTTCAGTGGAGCTTTGAAAACAAATGTGTATAACATGAAGGGCGTTTATATTCCAACATAATAATACTGATTAATTGCTAACATGGATGTATATAAACATTTAAACCTGACATTTACTTTGTCATTTCTTGTATTATATTTTCTAGCTGAAGTCGAGATCTCGGACGGAGGCCGACCGCCCGGATAAATCGAGGGACGTTGAACCTGTCTCGGAAGAGAGCGACGTGGAGATGGAGGCTGTCGACCCGCAAGACGAACCCCTGAGAGAGCACCTAGATGAAGAAGAGGCACCACAGCCTTCCACCAGCACGCCTTCTGCTGGAGGAAGGAAGAAGAAGAGGAAGATGGCGACCGCAGAGATAGAAGAGTTAGTGCAGAGGCTCGCCGAGAGATCTGAGAGGGACAAAGGTCTCCGCAAACAGGTTGAGGATATGGTGAAGGCAGTTGAGAACCACCACACAGCCTTCGCGAACTTCCTTGGGAGCATGCACCCCCTCATCCACCCTGACCTCTGGGATGAGTACATGCGGAGGCAATTCGACACCCTGATGCATTACGTCGCTACATCCAGGGTCATTAGGGCCAGTCAGCATCCCCTGCCACCTCCCCAAGCTGTGGTTCACAACCTTCCGCCTCCCATCATCCAGCATGACTTGGGCCGCACCTACACCAGCCTTCAGCCAGCCAACGTTCAGCCCGTCTACGTCGGCCACACCCTCAGTGGTCCTGGTGATAGTGGTGGTGTTAGTGGTGCTGCCTGGGATGGCGGCTTCGTCATGGCAAGCACCTCTATGCCGGACCCTGTGGCCCCGACTACCCCTTAAGCCTGGCACCTTTATATGGGGTCGGTCACGAGCTCCCGCAACCATCACCAGTACTCCTTCTAGCTCGCCGACCATAGGCGAGTGGATTAGTTTTATAGAAGTGTAGACATTAACTCAGGATTACCATTACTTTCGGTACATTATACCATTATGTTCTGCCTTTGACACTGTGTTTGCTCAGACTTTTGATGCATCAGCCATGTTGTATAATAATGTGCCTTTACATCCGTTTATATGTTGGTTTATATATTTATTTCATTGTTGATACTATGTACTTCTGATACAACCTGATTAAAGTTAAAGTTTAAAAGTTTATAGATAACTGTTGTGTTTGCTTTTGTGTTTCGTAGTTTTGTATTTTTGTATTTTTCTGAATTACCTGGATAATTTTGTTAATTAGAAATAATATGATTATTTATTTATGTTCATTTGATTCCATGCTTTCTTTCTCTCTCTGTCTTTCTTTCTCTCATTATACCCCCTCCCTTTTCTCTCATCCTCTCTCTTTCTACTCCATTCGCTATATCACTCTACCTTTCACCTTTGAAAATTAAAAAGAATCACACAGATTTTTTTTTTATAAATAAAGCCAAATTTTATAGCCATCCATATAAAATCAGGAGTTCATACATATTTTTAAAACATGCAACTGTTTGTTTACTTCTGTTTTCCGCCCCTCTCCAAATAAAAACAATGCTGCCAGAAGCAATCGAGGCTTTGCGTAAAACGCTCTCTACACAGATCATATACATATGTCGAGCACCACAAATTAAAGTTACTTGATTTATATTGTTACCTTCCTATTAACTCATAGCCTGCCATGAGGCTGCATGCACGCTACCTATTGAGTGCCATGTGCGTGCAAGGGCGCTTTCGTAATAGCAGTTATTGTTCATGCTCATTGGGCTATGCTGTGTGTTTCGCACTTGCCATTCATAGAACCATCGCGTTAATCAGATTATCTCCAAAACAACTTGGCAAAGTGGGGATTAGCCCTGTGGCACGATAAGAGTTAAATGATGCATTTATCTTTTAAGTATTTTTTTTCTGGGGACATATGATCAGTTGTAGCCTTTTTATATTTGAAAACCCAAATATACCATGCATAAATATTTAGCTCAAGACAAATCTAAAATATAAATAAGCATATCTGCTTTCAACATGATCAACGAATGCTACCATATATCTTGAGAACAATACCAACAACAAATATTATTATGATAAATCATTACCAAAACATATAATAACAAACAAATCAACGAGAGGAACATTCTGTTATAGCGACATAGGTAGTTTATGTAATAGCGACAAGAAACCATGCACATCCCTTCAACAGGTTTTTCCCTTTGTATATTTCAATAGGCTTCTCGTAATAAGCCTGACAGTCCTCCATTGTTACAACTGCGTACTACGCTTTTGTTGAATTGTACTTGTAACAACGGCGCAGTCCTTGCAACAGTCTTTGTGTTGAACTCTTATGAATAATGTTTTAATGGCCTGCTTGACTCCAACATTTAAATCTTTGACTCCTGCCAGGGAACAGAACCAGCAGGGCTGTTGTAGTAGGCCTTGATGTAATTCCTTTGGGCCTGAGCTGCCTGAGTAGCCGAGCGACCTCTAGCCGGCTGCCTAAGTTCAGCTAGGGTCTGCTCTCCTCGCCAGGAACCGGGCACTATGTTATGCTCGGCGTCCTCCCTATCCAAGGCTGAATTCTGGATGCAAGGGTAGCGGGTTCTCATCAAGTTGTGCAGGCATACACATGCCTGTACCATGGTCCTGACGGTCGAAGGGTTTTGTCGGAGAGTGGTCAGCAGGCACTGAAATCGGTTGGCATGAATGCCGAAAGCATTCTCCACCACTCTCCTTGCCCGGGACAGCCGGTAGTTGTAGATTCTCTCATGTCTAGCCATAGCCGTCCTTGCATACGGCTTCATTAGCCATGTCCTCAGGGCGAAGGCCTCGTCTGCTACAAAGAAGTAGGGGGTGTCTACATCATCGTTGGTCATGGGCTCTGGTAGAGGCACTCCAAGGGTGTCAGATTTAAGGCGTTGTTTTAGTTCACACGAGTTGAAGAGCTGTGCATCAGAGGTAGAGCCTTCGTATCCAACATCTACCCACAAGAATTTGTAGTTGGCGTCTACTAGGGCCATGAGTACAATAGAGTAAAAACCCTTGTAATTGTAAAATATGGACCCACTATCCTTGGGGCACTTGATTGCCACATGCTTGCCGTCCAAAGCACCAATGGTATGGGGAGAGTTCCAGCGGTCTTCGAAGCCATGTGCGACTGCTTTCCATTCCTGTGGGCTGGTAGGGCACTTCACCAGCTCGTCACCATATTCCTCAATGATGGCAGTGCATACCTCACGTACTATGAGTGAAATGGTATTGTGGGCTACCCTAAAGCTATACATGAGTGACTTGTAGCTGTCACCCGTGGCCAGGTGTCTAAGGGTGATGGCCAGCTTCAGCGCGGGCGAGAGGGCTTTCCTGAAGAAGGTGTCCTGCTTCTCCAGTCTTTCATGCAGTCGCTGCTCTAGCTCTTTAAACATTTGAGGGGTAACCCTCAAAAAGTTCGTGAATGCATCTTCATCCTCGTCTTCCAGCTCCCTCATCAGTTGGTCGAACTGTCCCTGGTCCTTCCTCCGGCAAATCCAGGACCGCACCCAACAACTCCTAGGAATACTTCGTTGATGCAGCTCAAGCAGCAACTTCCCTTGCTCATAATCGTCATTCGCCTCTTCTTCTTCCAACCGAACCAAAAGCTTAAGCTTTTGCAAAGCAGAGCTCTGCTGCAGGGCCATTGTTGTCATCGGATGTATTTTGCTTGGAGATGTAGACTCTTCAGAAGCTAAGATGTTTATGCCTTGTCCCGCAAAATGACTAGTATTTATATATGCCGCAGCACGAGCGAGCTGGTACGCTGTAGCGCGAGGTGACACGCATCAGTACGAGCAACAGACGAGCTAAAGCGAGCGAACACGCAACGAGACCAACTGGTGCGAACGGCTCGCGAGCAGCAAACGAGCAAAGAACGAGCTACATACGCAACATGGCGAGCAAACTGCGTATTGAATCGTACTGCTATGAGCAATAGCGAGCTATAGCGTGGTCATAGGCAACCGTAGGCAGTCTTTGTACGAGCGGCATACGAGCTACCTACGAGCTAGATACGCAATAGTGTGACTGCTACCTTCAAATTTGCTGCGTATTGCTGGGCACGGCTGCGTATTGATATACCCCGCAGAGCGCAGCAATACGCAGCAACATACGCAAAGGTGTGACTGAGGCATACCTCCCTGTGCATTTGTATGCCTCGATAATACAAAAAATAAACAATAAGATTCTTCCTCTTCCCCTCCTTTTTCCTAGTACATGTAGTAGGAGTAGTACTAGAAGTACTAGTATCACAATAATAATGACAACAATTATTAATATGGTTGGTGGTGTTACTAATGTTATTTTTGTAATTATTATGTTTGTCATTGTGATTATTATCCTTATCATGATTATTATCGTTAAGATAAGTTATTATTGTAATTATTATAATCATTATTATTGTTATCATTATGATGAATATGAACATGATGATTTTGATGACGATTAGTATAAGTATATAGTATTATTATAATTGTTATCATATCATTATTATCATCTGTATTATCAGCATAATCTACAATGGCACTAGTGTAGTATATTACATGTAGAATTAGGCCTTATAGTAGAGTTATCATTCTAATCATTACTATTCTGATTATATTTTGCAATACGTCTAGACGATAAACTCATGACAATTGACAATTGTCATGAATCATTGTCTTTAAATATACCATTAAATGCATCTGGTTCGAATTTTGTTCAGGTATTTGGTACGTGATGATTTAAATGGTAGAAATTAACTTGTGTCCTATTCATTCTAGTCTTATTCATATGCATTATGTTTTATTCGTTCAAGTTCTTATGTTTCTGACTGTTTTCAAAACAATATCTTTTGTGTCGATCATAAGTCTATGTAGCTTGATATCTAACGGTAATTTTGAGAGAAAAGCAATGCAAGCAATGATTTCTGAATTGTAGCGACAATCGCGTTCGCCTTTGCTGTTCTTCAATAATATTTGGCAAGCAGTATTAATTAATTTTTCAAGGACTCATGATAAATTCGTTTAACAGTTGATTACCCTCGGTTGATTCTTTTGTTCGGATTATTTGGCGGGGAAAATAGAAGTGAATGTATTATTATTCTTATTTGTTCATCGTCTCTACGATGCTCTTTGAATCAAAAACAGCTTTTAGTGTTAGGCTTCCTGAAAGAAATTTCAATTGTTGTTAAGAAATTTTTGGTTGCACTCTGTAGATTATGATGATGTGTTTGATATTTTGTTCAATACAAGATTAAACACATGATGAAAATCTACTGGCTGCATGCCAATGCCAACTGGGTCAAATAAATTAAAGAGAACTGAATTTGAACCCGGGCCATAGGCTATCCCATCTCGTTCTCTCTCCCTCTTCGTCACCTAACTTTTCCCTCTTTTACCTCCTTGTGCATTTTTATGCCTCGATAATACAGAAAATAAACAATAAGATTCTTCCTCTTCCCCTCCTTCTTCCTAGTACATGTAGTAGGAGTAGTATTAGAAGCAGTATCACAATTATAATGACAACAATTATTATTATGGTTGGTGGTGTTACTAATGTAATTTTTGTAATTATCAGGTGGGCTGTATATCGTACAGACCACCTTATAATTTCGTTAGAATTGCCTTTGTTTATTTATTTATTTATTATCAGGTGGGCTGTAGGTCGTACAGACCACCTTATAATTTCGTTAGATTTGCCTTTATTATCAGGTGGGCTGTATCTTATACAGACCACCTTATAATTTTGTTAAAATCGCCTTTATTATTCTTTATTGTTAGGTGGGCTGTATATCGTACAGACCACCTTATAATTTCGTTAGAATTGCCTTTATTATTTATTTATTCATCAGGTGGGCTGTATATCGTACAGACCACCTTATAATTTCGTTAGAATTACCTTTATTTATTTATCAGGTGGGCTGTATCTAATACAGACCACCTTATAATTTTGTTAAAATTGCCTTTATTATTAGGTGGGCTGTATCTAATACAGACCACCTTATAATTTTGTTAAAATTGCCTTTATTATTAAGTGGGCTGTATATCGTACAGACCACCTTATAATTTCGTTAGAATTGCCTTTATTATTTATTTTACTTATTTCAAACCACTTTTTTGTAAGCTCGATTACTTGAAAATGACTCAATCAAATGCCTTCAAATTTGGCACACATATATGTATAGGCATATGTACAAAACACAATAACGTTTTCAACTATGACCTTCACTGATGACGTCATCTAGGCGCCATTTTGTAAATTTTTCTGAAAATCAACTCATGATCATATCTTCATTACCAAAAGCCATTTTTGATTCATATTTATCATGACTAAGGTCAATATCCGTCCGGTCAATTTCAGTTCAAAGAACGCGCGCGTGCGCATACGTCCGCGCGTCAGTGCGCGCGCAAAATATTAAAATGCTCAAAATAGTCTCAAAATAATTTTACATACGTTTTAGGCCATTTTAATCATTTTATAAAAAATCTCGCACACGAGCATGCGCGCGTGTTTTCGCGCGTTCTGGCATTTTGCAACAAAGAATCGCCAATTTTTCTTTGTCATCATATTTGACACATTTCCCCAAGTATTTTGATACCTTGTTAACATATTTCTGACCATTAATATCGGAGTGAGCGTCCGTTTAAGATACACGTCCATGCGTGCGAGCTCTTGTAATACATAGCATATATGGGCAAAAACATGCCTATACAAAATCCATTGTAACTCTTTAGGATGTAAGTTGACCCCAAATTTTGTTCCATATTTTGTAGAGTATGAAATGGAAATATGATTTCTTGTCTCATTTGACCCTCAATTAACTCATGACGTCATCATAATGGCCTCCGAACTCAAAATTCCAATTTGCATATTATGACGTCAGCATATTTTTTGAAAATTGATTGTATCTTTGTAAATATTCATCGATTTTCTTCCAAATTTTGATATGTTCTAGCTGGGACAGTCTCCTTTGAATGTATTCTTCACATTTTTTCATTTTGACAAATGCATCATGGCGTATTTTTGCGATTAAAGGAGGAATATCAATTTTTCACTTTTTGCGTGTATTCTCTATGGGACATGACTTTTTTCAAAACTGGATTCTACATTCCCGTCTTTCGCGAGCAATATCTCCGTCGTTTAAGCTTCGTTTACGCTGAACTTCGAGTATGTTGTAGCTGAGACAATAAGCTATCTTAAATTTGCCCTTTATTTTGTCTCAAATTTTAATTAGACCAGCCCACCTATACTTGTTCAAAACAAGTATTACAAATCTAGTTATTATTATTATCATCAATATTGTCACCGGAGCAAGTATCGCTTCAGGAGGAGCAAATGTCGGCGGAGCAACTGTTGGCGGAGCAATTGTCGGTGGAGCAAATGTTACCGGAGCAATTATCGCGTTTTGCGGAGCAATTGTCGGCGGAGCAAATGTCGGTGGAGCAATTGTCGGCGGAGCAAATGTCGGCGGAGCAAATGTCGGCGGAGCATATGTCGGCGGAGCAAATGTCGGCGGAGCAAATGTCGCGGAGCAATTGTCGCGTTTTGCGGAGTAAATGTCGGCGGAGCAATCGTTGGCGGAGCATGTGTCGGGTTACCGCCGTCTGCTATATACTTTCTATAGACGGCGAACTAGCTACGTTTGTGCTCGCGAAAATGAGACAACCTGAGCAATATGATCCCTCAAATATACACCCTTGCGTATTTCCGTGTTTTACTCCCTAAAAGTTGTAATAAGGGGCTCCCTATTTTTCCAATTTCGTTTTACTCCCCAAGAACACCTTTCATTTCTCTGTGTATAGGCATTAAATTGCGGTCAGATGAGTATCAAGGAGCCAGCCTTACGGCCCTTGTTTGGGTCCAGGGGACAGAGCCCTCGGAAGCTTATTCTTTGCTGTTACTACAAAAATCTACTCCCCAACCCCAAAAATACAATATATATATATGTTTATACATACAGAAATGTACCAGTATAATGTAAAGAATGTGGTAGGAATACAAAATAATAAGATTGCTCAAAATATTATTGTACTGTAGTAGGCATATCGGGAAGATAATAGTGTAAGACATTTTCAAATGGCCTACCTGACAAAAGTATGAATAAAGTAAGCAGCTAATGAACGGAAACGTTTTCAAAACATGAAGAAATGTGTTTAAAGGGAATGCACACCCTGATATTAAGGTGGTTTGTATAAAAGGACAAATGAGAGGGAATATTTAATTTAAAGTTTGAGCAAATTAAAACATATTAAAAAGTTACGCATTTTTCAAGTTTCGATCAATCAAACACAAATTGCCAGCTCTGTGACGTATCTTGCGACGTTATCTTCCCTTTTTTTAAAACAAACATATCAGTCGTTTTGATTTTACTTTCTGAAAAAAATGTTTAGTTATACATGCGCCCTAAATACATTATTTAAAATACTTTAGGAGCCAAATTAAAAGAACTAGTCGCTCATCATTTGACGGAGACTTTACAATTTCAAAAGAAAATAATCTAGTATAGTATCTGGCACAGCTTATACTGATTTAATATGGTTCTTTTGACAAAATAACCGAACATAGTCTAGCATGGTTGACAGAGAGGATATAACCATTTATTAAGGATTACTGAATTTCGAATTTCGAGTATTGACAGTACGATGCTTAAAATCAGTCATTTTTC